TATGTAAATAATGTAGCTGGAGTTGATTTATCCTAACTGAATTTTTCCACCATCCACTCAGTGAGAGATTGACAGGAGAAACTTTCCCATTGATTTCCTTTACTCCTCGCAGCTGTGAGGTGCACCAAAGTCAACAGGGGCACCCTCAGCATTCCATTATACAGGTCGGCTACGTCTACACTGGCCCCTTTTCCGGAAGGGGCATGTTAATTTCAGCGATCGCAATAGGGAAATCCGCGGGGGATTTAAATATCCCCCGCGGCATTTAAATAAAAATGTCCGCCGCTTTTTTCGGCTTTTAGAAAAGCCGGAAAAGGGCGTCTACACTGGCCCCGATCCTCCGGAAAAAGCGCCCTTTTCCGGAGGATCTTATTCAAAGTAGGAATAAGATCCTCCGGAAAAGGGCACTTTTTCCGGAGGATCGGGGCCAGTGTAGACGCTCTTTTCCGGCTTTTCTAAAAGCCGGAAAAAAGCGGCGGACATTTTTATTTAAATGCCGTGGGGGATATTTAAATCCCCCGCGGATTTCCCTATTGCGATCGCTGAAATTAACATGCCCCTTCCGGAAAAGGGGCCAGTGTAGACGTAGCCGACCTTACTAACCCACTAACTCAAACGCCAAAAGATCGGATTCCACAGTGTCAGTTCTTCATTTGATATAGACATGGCCACAGGAAAGAACAGTCAGTTGCACATTCATGTACGTAAAATGAGAAATGACTGCCCAGGAAACAGTCTGCAGAAAGGGATTTAGAGATTATAGGGGACCACAAGCTAAATATTTCTACCCATCCTGGCTAATAAGTATTGATGGCCCTATGCTCCATGACTTTATCTAGTTCTTTTCTGAACCTTGTTAAAGTTCTGGTCTTCACAACATCCTCCGGCAAGGAGTTCTACGTGTTGACTTTGTGCTGCATGAAGAAAAACTTCCTTTTGTTTGTTTTAAGCCTGCTATCTATTAGTTTCATTGGGTGATCCCTAGTTCTTATATTATGGGAACAAGTAAATAACTTTTCCTTATTCACTTTCTCCATAGTGATTTTATAGACCATTATCATATCTGCCCGCTCCCCCTTTTTTTGGCCCATCACCTAGTTTTCTGAGATCCTTTTGAAACTCTTCACAGTCTGATTTGGTCTTAACTGTTTTGAGAAGTTTAGTATCATCTGCAAATTTGTCCATCTCACTGTTTATCCCTTTCTCCAGATCATTTATAAATATATTGAAGAGGATTGGTCCCAGTACAACTTTTGGGGGACCACTAATTACTTCTCTCCAGTCTGAGAACTGATCATTTATTCCTTTCCTTTGTTTCCTGTCTTGTAACCAGTTATCAATCCATGAGAGGACTGTGACAGACTCATGAGGTGTAACGGTAGTTCAAATTAGAAAGTCTAATTCGAACTACCTACTCCGTGCCACGTGTAGCCGCGGGCACGGAGTCCAAACTACTGGGGATTTAAAAATGGCAGTGCCTGGCAAGATGCAAATGAAGCCCGGGATATTTAAATCCCGGGCTTCATTTGCAACTTTGATTGACTACATTAACCACCCTAGTTCGAATTAGGGTGGTAGTGTAGACATACCCTCTCAGACAAAGAATTTTCCAGCATCAACACAGAGTACATATTTATAACTCCACATACAGATATTATACAAGTACATGAATAGCATATACAGAATCAGTAGAAAATAAGCTTTCATTTAACATCTCACAAGACCCCCTTTGTACAGACTTTTGGGGTAAACACTCCCCCAAGGGTGCAACAGTGATCTTTAAAATCCAATAACGTGACAAGGACCTTCCTTCTTATCCCATGACAACTTACTTTACTTAGAGCCTTCAGTGAGGGATCTTGTCAAAGGCTTTCTGGAAATCTAAGTATTCTATATTCACTGGATCCCCCTTGTCCACATGTTTGATGACCCCCTTAAAGAACTCTAGTAAGGCATGATTTCCATGTACAGAAGCCATGCTGACTTTTCCCCCAACAAATTATGCTCATCTTACATGTCTGACAATTCTATTCTTAACTATAGTTTCTATTAATTTGCCCGGTACTGACTTTAGCCTTACTGGTCTGTAATTGCCAGGATCACCTCTAGAGCCCTCTTTAAATACTGACATCATGTTAGCTATCTTCCAGTCAGAGCTGACCCAAGCTACAGGCAGACCGGGCTACCACCCGGGGCGCCTCATTGTAGGGGGCACCGCGCGGGGCTGCCAGACTGAGCGGGGATGGGACCGTGCATGCGCTGGTGCCCCGGGGTCGGGGCCGCACATGCACCACACTTCCGGGGGCAAGGCTGTGCATGTGCTGCGCTCCCGGGGAGGGCGGTGCTGCACTCCCAGGGCACACAAATGGTTCAGGCCAGCCCTGCTTCCAGTCATTAGATACAGAAGCTGATTTAAAGGAAGTTGTTCCAAAACCTCCTCTAATGACACCTCAGTCTGGGACAATTCCTCAGATTTGTCACCTAAAAAGGCTTAGGTTTGGGAACCTCCTTAACGTCATCAGCCATGAAGACTGAAGCAAAGAATTAATTTAGTTTTTCCGCAATTACTTTATCGTCTTTGAGTGCTCCTTTAGCATCTCGATCATCCAGTGGCCCCACTGTTTGTTTAGCATCCTTCTGATGTTCTTAAAAATATTTTACTATTGCTTTTTGAGTTTTTGATTAGCTGTTCTTCAAACTCCTTTTTGGCCTTCCTTATTATATGTTTATACTTAATCAAATAGGCTGTGTCTAGATTGTCAAGTTTTCTGCAAAATCAGATGCTTTTGTGGAAAAACTTGCCAGCTATCTACTCTGGCCGCTTGAATTTCCACAAGAACACTGACTTCCTACTGTCTGAAATCAGTGCTTCTTGCGGAAATAGTATGCTGCTCCCGTTCGGGCAAAAGTCCCTTTTGCGCAAAGCTTTTCCGCAAAAGGGCCAGTGTAGACAGCTGAGATTTGTTTTGTGCAAAAAAGCTCTGATCGCGAAAATGGCGATCGGAGCTTTTTTGCGGAAAAGCGCGTCTAGATTGGCACGGACGCTTTTCCGCTAGAAGTGCTTTTGCGTAAAAGCGTCTGTGCCAATCTAGATGCGCTTTTCCGCAAATGCTTTTAACAGAAAACTTTTCCGTTAAAAGCATTTGTGGAAAATCATGCCAGTCTAGACATAGCCATAGAGTTTATACTCTTCTGTTTTCCTCACTAGGAATCAACTACCATTTTTTAAACGATGCCTTTTTAATTCTCACTGCTTCTTTTATTTGGTGGTTAAGCCACAGAGGTACTTTTTTGGTTCTCTTATGTGTTTTTTTAATTTGGGGTATACATTTAAGTTGGGTCTCTACTATGATGTCTTTGAAAAGTGTCCATGCAGCTTGCAGGGATTTTACATTTGTCACTGGACCTTTTAATTTCTGTTTAGCTAACCTCATTTTTGTGCAGTTCCCCTTTCTGAAATTAAATGCCACAGTTTTGGGCTGCTGAGGTGTCTTTATCACCACAGGGATGTTAAACTTTATGGTCAATATTTCCAAGTTGTCCAGCTATATTTACTTCTTGGACCAAATCCTGTGCTCCATTTGGGACTAAATCAAGAATTGCCTCTCCTCTTGTGAATTCCACAACTAGCTGCTCCAAGAAGCAGTCGTGTAAGGTGTCAAAGAAACTTTCTCTCTGCATCCCATCCTGAGGTGATATGTATCTAGTCAATATGGGTATGTCTACACTACCCTCCTAGTTCGAACTAGGAGGGTAATGTAGGCATACCGCACTTGCAAATGAAGCCCGGGATTTGAATTTCCCGGGCTTCATTTGCAAGTGCGGTATGCCTACATTACCCTCCTAGTTCGAACTAGGAGGGTAATGTAGGCATACCGCACTTGCAAATGAAGCCCGGGATTTGAATTTCCCGGGCTTCATTTGCAAGTGCGGTATGCCTACATTACCCTCCTAGTTCGAACTAGGAGGGTAATGTAGGCATACCGCACTTGCAAATGAAGCCCGGGATTTGAATTTCCCGGGCTTCATTTGCAAGTGCGGTATGCCTACATTACCCTCCTAGTTCGAACTAGGAGGGTAATGTAGGCATACCGCACTTGCAAATGAAGCCCGGGATTTGAATTTCCCGGGCTTCATTTGCAAGTGCGGTATGCCTACATTACGCCGCTAGTTCAAACTAGCGGGGTAGTGTAGACATACCCTATGGGAGTAGTTGAAATCCCCCACTATTATGAAGTGTTTGTTTTTATAGCCTCTCTAATATCCCTTAGTATTTTAGAGTCACTGTCCTGATCAGGTGGTCAATAATATATCCCTACTGCTATATTCTTATTATTAGAGCATGGAATTACTATCCATAGAGAGTCAATGGAACATTTTGGTTAATTTAAGAGTTTTACAGCATTTGATTCTATATTTTCTTTTGCATATAATGCCACTCCTCCACCAGCATGACCTGTTCTCTCCTTCCAGTATATTTTTGTACCCTTGTATGACTGTGTCCCATTGATTGCCCTCATTCCACCAAGTTTCTGTGATGCCAAGTATATCAATATGCTCCTTAAATACAAGGCACTCTAGTTCACCCATCTTATTATTTAGACTTCTAGCATTTGTTTAAGCGCTTTAAAAATTGTCACTATTTATCTGTCTGTCATTTCCTGATGTGTTTGAATAGTGCTCTTTTTCATTTGACTGTTTCTCATCTGATCTTACCCATATTTTATCATCTTCTATCCTCTCCTCCTTAGTAGAACATAGATAATCTCTATTAACAGACCCTCCCCTAAGAGATGTCTCTGTCCAATCCATGTGCTCCTCTGCGCCTGTTGGCTTTCCCTCGTCCCATATCTAAAGCAGCTTATAACCTCACAGTGTGTGTCATCAGAGATACAATGGGTGGGCCTAAGGTAAATG